GTTGCTGACTAAATATGATGCCGTTTTAATAAGATCCGCGAAATGCGTCCCCATGGGGGGCGACACGTTGCTGGCGGTAGCAATCATCCCCGCATTCAATATGAAACATGATCCCGCGTTTTGTGCAATGCGCAAAATCACAGAAGACGCGAAAGGGAGTTGCAACTTTGTCCCGCTTTTAATCAAATAAAGGACAAATCTGTCGATTAAATGAATTGCTGCAAACATCAAACTGTCTCTCGGAGACGTCACGGCCCAAATTCGGAGCACGTCCGCCCAGGGGTAACGAGGGAACTGATTCAATAGAATTCCGAGCCCCCACGCGATTTCGCTCCGACAGCCTTTTCCCGTCGCCAGGCCGCGCGCAACCCTCGCTCGCTCTCTCATGTTAATGCACTGCAAAGTTAGTTGTCAGCCAACCCATTTCCTTTTTCGGCCGAGAAACGATCGCGAGAAATTGGGAAAATTAGTTTTTACCCCCCTCGACAGGAAACGAGATTTCTTGGGCAGACTGTCGTCGAGTGGCTGCCATGCTGGGCAGCTGCGAATTCTACTTCGTCAAAGTTCATCGCAGTTTTCTCTAAGCAAACCTAGACATCTTAATTATAACAGAGAAAACACACAGTTAATTTCCATTTATAACAATAATAACGTTAAATTGATCTGTCACGACCATAACTCCAACACTCGTTATGGGTAATGAGACTGAAAAACTAATCAATTTTTTTTTATCCGGAAATTAAAAAAAAAATACGAGTTATTCAAGAAAAGAAGGATCTGATTTTGATAACTTCAATATTAATTTTTTCAGAAAATAAGCAAGCTCATTTTGGTTAAAAATTTGATTATTTAGCTTTCACTTCAAAATTATTACAAATGGACCTTGAAAAATTGTCATTTGCATTCGTAATAATTTTGAAGAGAGAAAAAAATACTTTTCTTGTTTTTTCAGACATTTTTGAGTGATTTTGCAGAAGTGTATTATTAATCTCTATTGACTACTACTTTATGCAATAATTTTATTACTACCTACAATAACCCTTTAATCTGAGTTACATTTAAAATTTTATTTGAAACTTGTAGGGAATAAAAATGAACGTGTTTTTATATAAAAAAATATTTATTTGTCTTTTTTTAAGGAAATGCCTGTGTAAATTAAAAAACAAAATTAAAATATTTTACATTAATTTAATTTTACAGAGGCTCGCTGCGGCGGATAGGGTCTTTTTTATGTCAGAGGTTGTGGAAACGGTGGTGTTTTTTATTTTTTGTCCAACAATCGCTTTTTTAAATAAATTGGTTTAAACAATTGAATGTAAACAATGCATTTGTAACAATGTGGACAAATAATCAGCAATAATAATAATAATTTATGTAATATATCGCGAATAAATAAACTTCCTCTGGATAAAACACCTTTTTCTGCTAAAAAAATATTCTGACGATGAGTTTTTGAGGAAAGTTTTTAAGCAAAACAGACATTTTCGCCAGTCGAATATTCTATTTCATGCGAATCCCAGAAAACCGACTCTTGAAATAATGCTTCTCTCCACAACACAATTTGCGTTTCAGCATCTACTTTCCCCAATTCATTTCTGCAAATAGCTCGGCTTGACATGTGACACCGTCGAGTTTGGACGTGATCCGTCCTTATTTTCGCTTTGCCTTATTTCCATTGGAATTCCGTCGCCAGAGGAAATGTCTCCTCGCTTCACGCACGTAAAAGAAAAGAATACTTTGACTTTTCCGCATTTGTCTTCGCAAACAATCGGGCAGAGAAAGAGAAACGTGCGTGTCACCCAATTTGGACCGGAATGAAAATCGCACGCCATCAATAAACTCGCGGCCGTGACAAATCGCCGTGTTTTGTGCGTCGACGGGATTGCATTGCGCCACTACCGGTTTGTTTTGAGCCGAAATCAATCAGTGTGCTGACAGCCAAATGAATATAAGATCAGCTATGAATGTCACATCACCGGGGAGATAAAAAAAAATGGCAGCCTGTTTTCCACTGGCCATCAATCCATTGACAGCGGTGCATTTTTTCACCAATTCAATAATAACAAACGAAAATTCTGATAAATTTGACGTGCGGGGCGACAATCTGATGATACATTTCCGTCAGTTTCTCACCTTGTCGTTCATGTATTTATCTTAACCAGTTAGGAAAATAAATAGCAAGATAATCGAATAAAAAGGTGGTCATAAAAAGAATGTTAATTCCTGACTATTAAGAAATTATTCAGTTCAGTACTGAATTTTGGAGTTGGTTTTCAATTGGATTCAATGAAAAATAAAATTATTTTTATGTGTTAAATATAAGCAATGATAATTTCAAAGCATACAAAAATAAACGAAAATATTAAATTTAAAATCTATTAAAGTTACATTTTGACTTTTTTGCTGCATTTTTCTCCCAAAGTTATTTTTTATATTAAATTTTTAGTCGCATTATTTTTGTAGCGTCCAATCTTGGCTTATTAATATGCGGTGGACATTTATGAAACCGCACTTGACTACGTCCGGCCTAATTGATTTTGACTCAAGTGGCCCATGCCGTGTGCCGGCTGATGAGAAGCTTTTGACTTGAGAGTGCCGATCAAGCGGCCCCTGCATAAGTGACGGTCGAGTGTTCCGCAAAGCATCGGTGCTGCGCCGGTGGCCTACATTACATTAGCCTGTTTGGCGGATAAGTGATTGGGGATTGGGCGGTGAGAGATAGAGACGCACCAAATGATACACCTTACGAAAGCCTCGACGTTGATGTATCATGACGGATGATTGTGACGCCAATCTACTGGTCTTACCTGTGAGTAATTGATTGCTTTGACGCAGTAGCTCCTTTGGTGATCAGAGACTTGATATAAGCCGAAGGCTGATGGAAAATGCATCTGAAGTTGCTCGATTAATTACTTTTTAATACAAACATAATCAAGAAATTAAGTGGGTAAAAATTTTGTTTACATCGTTAGGCGGAAAGAGATTATCAATTGCTAAAATATATGATCAAATTTCTCAAAATAATATGTAGCAACTTGTTTGAAAAAAATTTAGAATGGAACAAGGAATGCTCTTTTCTTGTAAAATCATCTGCCGAGAGATAAAACCTCCAATTATTTGCCTGTTTTTAATAAAAATTCCATAGTTTTCAGGAGCCGACGAAATTGTGAATTGTTGACGTGAGTTTTTGTAATTTTGTGAGCAAAGAAATTTAGTGTTGAATAATTTCATATACATTTTCAGCTTAATTTTTCAAAGAGAATTTTAACTTGGAATCCTGAAATTGAGCAAGAACACCAATGTTTTGATATATTTATTCATTATATTGTAATTGACAAGAATATTAAAAGTAAATTGACCAATCCTAAGCCTAGAAAAAACAAAAGTGAGGCGGAAATTGAATTTAAATCAATACAAATTTTATCATTTTTCTTGTTATAAATATATTGGCGTTTTTAACAAGCAGAGCAAACAAAACTCCAGTGACATTATTAGTTTGCGCTTATCAGCGTAGAACGCGTGAATCCGCTTATAAAATTATAAATCGTCCATGGTTGAAGTTTGTGTTTTGTGGGTACAGCATTTTAATTAATCCACCGTGCAAAGCGCATACGTGTGTGTCGGATTTGCTTTGATACAATTCGAGTGGCAAAAACACTCATCGCGGCATTCAAACAAAAAGAATTGAAATTAAAGTTGAAACCCAGGGCCATTTTGCACTAAATGAGATTCCTGAAAATTGTTCGCAAATAAGCTTCACCTCCTTTGCTGTTGGCGAAGTTGTTAAAATGAGTTTCCAGAATTTCTAGCAAAGAAAATTCTTGCGTAACATGGCTTGAGGCCCATCTTCTTTAATTTCAGCACTGAATGCCAGCGAAGCATAAGTTTGTCATAATAACCCAGCCGACCGGAGCTATGCGAATAGGCCGCGTTTCAAAGGGCGCGTTTCTGCTGCTGTCTGACTGTCTATATTGCAAGGCAAATATTCACCGCCTTTCTCGACGACTTGGGATGGTGCACGGCCTAGGAAAATAGTTTATCTTTCACAAAGGGGATTCTCCGTGCCGCGTATTTAAATTTTTAGAAATACACACACAGAGATGCGAGGGCGGCGAAAGGGTGTGTATTTCCAGCCCAGCCGAAACAAAAGTGGAAAAGGCGGCGCCGAGAGATACCCCTGCTTTTCTCGCTCGCCAGTGCATTAAACACGCGCCTGCTTTCGCTCGCTCTTTTTCCGCTGATGTATTTTGCGAGAAGGGCGTGTTTGAACTAGTAGCCTAGCGAACTTCCAAGTGAAAAATCATAAAATGCTGAAGGTGCGTTTTTATCAAGAGGAGGTAACGAGCACGGCCCTCCTGTCTCCCCGGCTCCGTTTTTGCCTCCGTGCTTTCTCTACTTGTGCCTCTTCTTCAATTTCTCTCCCAATCTCCCAATGGACTGCTTTACACATAAAATGCCGACGGAGGTGAAAAATGGATTTATTTAAGGAGAGATAATTCTAGATTTTATTTTGTTGTATTTTTGTTTCTGAAAATATTGATGAGTCACGTAAATTTCATCTTTAGTATGAGTTTGCATTTTATTTCCAGCATCCTGCAAAGAACACTCAATTGCATAGATTACATTTCTTGAATTTAATTGCTGGGAGTTTTTTTTATGAAGAAATGAATACATCAAGCATTCATCATAAACTCCAGAAATCTTATTTCCAAGCAAATACGAACACTCACAGCACAGCAGAGTCAAGATAATAATAACTTGAGGAAAATGTCTCCATTTCTAAAAATGCATGCAATTTTTTTCTTCTTGAGTTGTCAGAGATAAAATTTTCATCTCAGATGGTAGTATTTTAATTGTGTTGACTATTTGCGACGAGTGGGCTTCTCGACGTCTTGCCAAGGTTATTTTTGCCTCACGGACGTTCCAGCATATTTCCTGCCTCCATGTTTATTTTCATATCTGCCTATTGCTGGTTAAGGTTGATAGATATATCTTAGCCAGTTAATTCGATTCAGAATTTTCACTTTATTCAATCAAATCACAAACTTAAGTGCTCATCGATTTAGCAAATGCATTAGAGCTGATACAAAATTTGTAGAAATCTTCGATTTGATCTAAATATTTGTCATATTTCTACACACACTAAAACATAAATTCGGAATTTCACCTTCTAACTAAATACTGAAATTTGAAGAGTATTTTTAAGTTCTGAAGAACTCACATTTTCGTCGCATATTGTATGCAGATGTCAAATAATTTTATTTTAGTCAAAATAAGATTTTCTATTGTTTTCAAAGTAAGCTTTCCTCTCAAGTGAGTAATGCATTTGTATTATTTTTGTTTACTTTGCACAATGTTCTTATCTGGTGCAATGATTCTTGTTTTGAAGGGCTAAATTAGAATTATTAAATAATTTCACTGATATTTTCTGTACTTGGAAATTAAGTAGCAGATCACAAATAATTAAACACAAATCTAAATAACTTAAAATAATAACCATATAAATATAATGTTTGAAACTGGCTCGGTGTAAATTAGTTGTATGGAGTATGTTTGTATCTCTCAAACGGAATTGGACCACTTTTCAATTAAGTAGTTGGAACTTTAGATACCTTAACTTTCGATTAGAATTTGAAAAGCTTCTGAGACTGTGTGATGCTGACCTCCTTGATTTTCTTCAAGGCTTCATCCTTGTTCAGCCTGTAGGCGGACATCACAATGCGAGCAATCAACTCGGGAATCAACACCTTCATTGTGTAATTCACATTCTGAAAAAGAAAGATTGTCACTAAATGGAAAGAGCGATTTAAGTTACGACAAACCATATTTTCAGCAGCCTTGTTCTTGTGGAATGTCGCAGAGACAAGATCAGTGAGACGGTTCAGGTTTTCAAAACTAAAGAGCAGCCCACCATCGGCATACTGCATGGTAGAACCATTGTCACATGATTGATGGAATTCCTAAAATTTTGATTTTTATTAAAATAATGATATTACGAGAATAAACATTTTTACTTCACGGAGCAAACTGCGGATTTCTCCATTGTGAACAGCCTGCAGATACTCTAGATGAGCTTTGAACAACCTTTCCACCACTTTGGAATGAAGTGCTCCGGTATCACTAAAATAAATAGAAACAAAATTAGTAAAATATTTATTTATTTAATAATTTTTTCCCAAATATCACGTCATTCTTGAAATAAATTAGGGACTTGAGTAGAATTAATAACAGCAATAATAATTTAATTTATGCTATGTTAAAAGTTTAGATTAATAATAAATAAGCAAAAACAGTTCCGTGGTTCAGAATAAACTCCTAATGAGTTATGAGCACATGACAAGGCCAGGTGGTAAAAATCAGAATTTTTATTACTTTCCTTTAATTTACAAAGTGTTTAAAATAATTTATTTCGCCCAAGTAATTATTTTTCATTTAACTTACCCTTTTGCCAAAACAGACTTGAATTTTTCGCAGTCCTTGAAAAATTCAAGAGAATCTGAAATAATGAATACCTTTGTTAATATTTCCTACAAGAGATTTCTTTATTGAAGATTTACCTGGATCTGGGAATCTCTTGTGTATTTCCTCCACTTCCTCTTTACAGGTCCTCCTGACAGGTGTGCACTGCTTGACGGGAGACGACTGGGCCAACTTGACATATGCTGAATAATCAGTCTGTGAATCATTTTCAGATTGCGAATCCCATTCGCTTTTCGAGGTAGATGCACGAGGAGTGAGTGGCAAAGGAGAATCCCAAATGTAGGAATCAATAAATTTTGGCTCCTCCTTTTTCTTCCTCTTTTCTCGTTTTTCCCTTTTGACCTTTTCCTCCACAGGCGAGCATTCACTAGGCATCACATCAAAAATGGAATTTTCCTCCCTTTCCGGGGTCTTTTTCTTCTTCTTCACAGGAGAGCACTCACTCGGCATAGCATCATCAAAAAGATCCTCATCCGAATAAGAGGAGTTCCTCTTTTGGATTATCAAAGTCAAAGCATCTTCATCTTCCTGAGACAGGTAGCCGGTCGACTTGCTGGTTGACGGACTGGAGAAGTAGTTGGTCATCTTGGTTTGAGATTTGTCTTCTTTCGAAGACTTGGTCCTCTTCTTCTTCAAAATGTTCGTCTTTGAACTCTTCTTGTCCTCAGTTTCAGTCTTTTCTCTCTTCTTGCTTTCGTCACTGTCCTTCTCTTTCTTAGGCTGTTTCTTTGGTTCGTCTTTGCCTTTGCGCTTCTCCTCTTGTGAAGAATGATCAGTGCTATCTTTCTTGACCCTCGCTGGCGGCAAACTGAGAGAAATTGAGGTTGTGATGATTGAGTCCTCGTTGTCAGCACAGAGATCGATCCTCTGAGGAGACATGGCTCCCTCGTTTTGGTTTTGGAGCTGCTGCAGAGGACGTTTTGTGGTAGGGGTTTTTGGACAGATTAGCTTCGGCTTCCTGATGTTCTCAGATTCCTTAATTAGGAAAATAAATTATGTTTTAATCAAGGAAAAACAAATTAGAGTGAAATTAGAAAATTTTTAATGGTTACAATTAAGAGATTTGTTTTGAATTATTTTGTGATTAGATACATTTTTATCATTATATCCACAATAAAAAGAATTAATTTTTTTTTAGAACAATATCTATAATTTTGTGGTACAAGTTCTTGACCGAGGGTGACCGAGGGTTGATTCATGGTGAATTTAATTTAAAATTTGGCTTTTCTTTGATGGGTTTTTCTGAGTTTTTTCTTAAATCATAAAAAAAAAACCAAAAACCCACGGAAGATAAGCCCAAGTTTAAATTAAAATCACCACAAGTTTTCAGAAGTTTTATCAATCTAAATAATACAAAGAGCCCATCAAAAAATGGCTATACTGTTAAAAAAATGAATGCATTGTTGAATAAATTCAAAACAACAATTTACTTTAATAAAGATGGGAAAGATCAGAAGATGAATTGTCATGAGGGACTATATTTTATTATTTTCGTGTCACTTACGTTGAAACCTTGCAGTCTGTCAAGGGCCTCTTTGAGCTTTAGTCGATCACCTTTGAAGGTAACCTCAGCTTTGATGTTAATGTTGGAGATGGGTTCTGGAAATTTCAAAAATAAATTGACTGATAACAATGCATTTTTGGTTTAAAAATTAGTCCAATCAAATTAGGAATTGGAATTTTTTAACTAAAATAATGAATTAAAATTTCCTTATTCATACAGTCAAAATGAAGTCTCCGCACAAATGTTGGTTGCAATTTTAGATTATGTATTGAAAATTTCAACTACCATTACAATGACCTTCAAAAAGAAACCTAATAATTTTTTTCAAGTGATATTTTCATTTCATTATTTAAGTTTTTGAAGAAAATGTTTTAAGAAATGCAAGAAAAAATGCTCCTGATTTTCATTAAAACAAATCAATATAATTTTATATTGATTTAAAAATCTTTAAAAAACCAAATCTGTGAAAATAATAAACAAACCATCTTCATCAAAGTGAACATCCAGAGCATCTCTCAAACTGTTGTCCAAGTCAGGTACGTAAGTAAGCCTTGAAACAAAATTAAAATGTCAGTATAATAATTACATTACTGCTGAAATTAGGGCAACTAACTTGACAGAGAAATATGGTGATTCTTCAGTCTTGGCCAGTTTGCTCAGGGTTTTGGTTTCGTACGACCTTTTCCCAGACAAACGTAGAGTGGCTTTCCTGATGACGTTTTCCAACTCGGGCCACATGCAGTCGGCCATCCAGTAAAAGTAAACCTGGCCTGTGTTTATATCCATGGGCATGAAATTCAATATCGTGATGAAATTGTCTCCTTCAATCTGCAAAAAAAATATTTGTTATATAATATTAGGGGTTAGGAAAAATCACGAAAATGAAAGGCCGCCGAAAAAAAATCGCACGTGTAGAGCTGGAGCAACATAAAATCGTTAATTTACCTCCAAAAGACGCAATTCGCGCCTAATTCCTCCTTTGGTCATCATCTTGAGATCTGAAATTGGCGGTGTGTCGTCGTATGCCGCAAAGATGCGGTCGAAATTCCCAATTAATCTAGACGATGTCAATCTCGTGTGAGCATTTTCTCAACCATGTGGGCACAAGATGTCCTCAAGACGCGTCGATACTTGTTGTTTTCTGTTTAGGCTGCAGGTTGAGATGTCACTCGACGTTTTTCCGAACCTTTTGCAAGCTTTTCTTTCCTTTTTCCTTCCCAAACTCGTGGTCAGATGTCAGATCGTGATTTTTTCTGGTTGTTTTGAGCAATTTGAGCCTAGTTTCGGTGGCTCCAGTGTAGAGGGCATACATGCTTGTTTGAAATTTAGCGCGAAAAACACGTGGCTTCATTTTACGTGGGATCACATTTACATATATTATATAATATTCTTGCTAATTGTGAGAGCGTTGCCAGGCTATAAGGGCAATCGGGCCAGAATTCGGAAGGGCCCATTTCAACCCTGGGCTTAAAAGTTCCAGAAAATCCAGAGCCTGGGCCTGATGAGCCCCCGACCTGAGCCTCCACCTAGAAATTTGAAATTTTTACCGCAAAGTTCACTTTAAGCCATTACAGAACTTTTACTTTTACAATAAAAACTTACTGCCGTATATTTAATTTAAAATTGTCTTTATTATTTATAAATTATAATTGAACTGAAAAGTTAGCTTAATTATATCTTACTGAAATTTTTTTAAGTTCTTGTTATTTAAATACACCAATTTATGTGTCAAGAATTTTTCCCAGATTGATTCAAGTGATTTAAATCAGGGACTGACAATAAAACGAAGTAATTTTTTTATGAAAAACTTAGTTTAATATAGCTTTACAAAAAATTTCCGTACACTATGAACATTCAAGTCATCAATGCTTCTAAATTCACAGTGGTATACTCAATGAGCAGGATAAGTTTCGTGTTTCAGCTTTAATTATTACATTCCAAACAGGAAGTACACACATAATGTTTACCCTTCTACGATGCGTTTTTTCCTTACATCAATTTTCGTACTAATTAATTTTTGTTCACAATTGCAAAAAGATATTTTAGCAACTGCATGCAAATTTCATGATATGCTGTGACGAGTGATTGAGTTGGAACCAATTTTTGCAAATTATTAGAGTGCAGTCATTAAAAATTTGAAATACACTTTTACTGTAATCAACATAAAGAAAGGGCTGATCAAACATTTTATTTTTAAATTAGGTATTCGTACAACAATGTCTTTTGAACTTATGAGCCATTTGATACAACGAGAGCCCAAAATTAAACTTGAGTGAAAACAAATTTCAGTCATTTTACAACTCATCGTGTTTAGGACCAGAGAACTCATCATGAGAAATGAATCCGTTCTTGTCCTTATCCTCATGCTGGAAAATCTCTTCGACCAACTTGTCCTGGTCCTGCATCATTTTCTTGACATCCTCGCTGATTTCTCCTCCCTCCTGCTCAGCAACTTGCTTCTTCAAATAGCTGCTAACCTAAAAATTATAATAAAAATTTGTTATCAGATTTGCCACCAATAATAAAAAATTTAATTCAAGGTGCAGCTAATTATTAGGTTAATTTTGTACGAACAACAAATAAATTTAACATAAATTGGAATTATTTCTGATTTTATCAAAAAATTTCCTTTAGTTACACACAATAAAAATTTCAGGCCAAAAGATTCCAAATTGTAAGAGTTATTTCAGGACTTAAACTGTGGGACCTAAATTTTAAAAAAGTAGCAAATGAAAACATAATTCAACTTTTTTAAAGAATGAAATAAACTAAAATCAAAAATATTTCTTTTAGGCTATAATTTAAATTGTAAAAACCTTTAAACACAAAACCTTTTTCTGTTACTAGTTAAATCATGCCAACCACTCAAAATCCACCAGAATTTCGTTAGTAAACCACAATATCCACATATGGTTTTGGTGTTTAGCAATTAATAAGGATATCACCATTTGCCTCACCTCCTCCCTCGACAACTGTTTGTCCTTGTTCTCGTCGATCTCTTTGAAAACGTTGACAGGTGGTGGCGAGTCACCCAGGCTGATGAGCTCCACTTCAAAGTTCAGAGTAGCACCTGATAAAATTATGAAATAAGTTATATTGAAAGAAATTTTTGTTTTAAAAGTTTCGCACCTCCAGGGATGACGCTTCCGGCTCCACGATCGCCGTAGCCCAGGCTGGGAGGAATGGTCAGTTTGCGGACCTCGCCGACGCACATGTCGGTCAGACCTTGGTCCCAGCCCTTGATCACTTGACCCACACCAAGCTGGAATGTGAATGGTTGATCACGGTCGTGGCTAGAACAAACAAAAAACGAAAAATTCAATTAATTATTGATCTGGCACAAAATCTTAAAAATTTTAATTAATTTATTATGAAAAAAATACATAGTTTAAATTTAAACTTGGATTCTGCATACACTTTAGCGACAGATACGATCATAAATAGCTACGTTAATAATTTTGCTTAATAGTTTATGATTTATGATGACATGAACGCACGAGCTATTTTTTTTTTTTCAAAATCTCTATCATTATTATTCATACATTCATTATGATTGTAATAACTTTCAAGTTGCAGAGAGAACTGCCCAGAAGAACCCAATGTTTATCTCATCATATATTCTTCAAACAATGGTAACGCACTTTACTTTTAATTTTTTAATGTACGTTTATCATGTATATTTCAATATTTAAATTCTGTAAAAAGATTTAAAACTTTAAAATATGAATAAAATAGTAAATAAATATTTTATTTAATATTTTTTAAATGATAATAACAATAATTCTAATTTTATTTTGCATGAAATTTTATTGAACTGAATAAATTTTTTTTTTTAATATATAAAAACAATTAAAAAATAAATATAAACACAATATATTTGTTTCTTGTTTCAGCAAAATTTTATTTGGAAGAGGTTTATGGGGAAGCTTGTATTTTTTATCGGAGAATATCTCGCTGAAGAGGGTCCTCTCACTCTCGTTACTAATAGATTGATTCGCACTCACAAAGTTAGCGCAGCGAGAGGGCGAGTTTGTTGGTTTTACGACGCGTCCTGCACAGCACCACTGCGGTAGAATAACAAGTAGCAGCTCAGCGAGCGCAGCCATCATAAAATAAAAGGAAATACTGCACGGGCGCAAAGTGGTTGGCAAACGACGTCGTGACGGCCGTCGCACCTAGCCTTGTCCTTGCCCGGCCGGTTCATTGCACTCCAAATAATATTTAATAATGGCAACTCGCGTAAACGCACACCTCTCACTTTGCGCCGATTGCAAAGAGGAGGAAATCGCGCCGTCGGTGGTATGCTGGTTTCTAAAGGGGAGCGCAAAGCCGTTTGCAGTAAAATAATATTTATTACCCCTATATAACTGCGGCGATAAAATCTTTATAAAGTTTCGCAGCGAATTCGGGGTGCGTTCCGAGCAGGACAGGCGATTTTTCACATTTGACCGAGTGCGATTTTATCATCGACAGCTCATCAATTTTTTACTCCGCATCTCAAATAATATTTATACGAACGCTTTCTAAAATTCCACGAGGAAAAATTTATAATTTTTCAACCAGTCCACATCAAGTCAAATTAATGTTCAACGTTCTAATCAGTTCAAACGACTATTTAATGACATCAATTCTGTGAAAACTTGATGGATTTTTGTATGTAGGTTTTTATGAAGACGCTTATTATAAAGCTGGCTTTTGAAATCATTAATTTTTATGTCAGGAGAAGAAGGTAAGAATAGTTCCTCATTGTAAATAGAAAAAATGCGTCATTTTACAAAAAAGGACATAAAGAGAAAAGAGTGAAATTGTCGAGTTGAAAAGAAGGGAAATCTTTTAAAATATAACACGACCATGTTATTTTCATAAATCGTCAATTTTTCCTTATTTTCCTCATTTTGCTGATAATTTAAATTAATTGATATTTTGAAACCTAATTCTACGTAGAATGATCCTTACTTTTAGCTTTACAATTAAGGTCGTCTTGTGCCAGTTTTATTTTTATTATTGCTTTTGAATTGCAAAGGTTAAAATTTTTGGGCGAAAGGATGCTCTTTGCCATCTTTATTGGAAATAAACTACAAGTGAAAATTTTTCGGTCATTTTCTACAACAAAAGGTGGTCTTAAATTATCACAATTGCTGCAGATCTGATGTTTTTTTTTAACATTTAATATAAAAAAAAAAATAGTTTTAATTCCACAAACCCTGGCAATTTTATTTTCGGCTCTGTTATTTCCATTCTAATATCAGTCAATTCCTCACAAAGTATAAATCCCATTATATTTTCACTTCACGAACGCTTGCTCGAGGGCCGCTTCTTTTCTCAAAATAATTAATAAATTTTTGATCATTACATGAGTTAAAAAGTGAAAACGAGTGGTTGTTCAGTTTAATGATTATAAGCTCGCCCTCAGTACAAGGAAAACAAGCTCATTTGTGTTGGCGTGAATACATTAACAAAGTGGGCCAGTTGTCTTTCTTGATGGCGATAAATGCGCTCGACCGCACATCAGAAATCTTCTCACCTCATCATCGAGAGAAAGAAAGTTGAGACACATCCTGCACCCAACGGCGCCATCATATGGAAATACTTAATGCACCGCCTCGAACGCACTTTAATAGAAGCTCAAGTTCATCTCTTGGTGATCATTTATGCTTATATTTATGAGTGTGGTACGCTAATAAAAAAGCCGGGCTCTGAGGTCATTGTTGCGGTAGGAGAAAGTCACATGGAGAAAGTGACCAAAAGAACGCGCATCATCACACATTAACCAGGCTGAAAAATGGCAGTGGTATTTATTACCAGGGCTAATTAATTACAAAAAAGAAGAGCTACGGATCATCGAAGGCAGTTTCTTTTTATCCCGGTTGTTGTGTAATGAGAAGCCCTGATATAACAAGCAACTTTCGATTTCCCAAAAGTGAGAATATGCTCACAATTTCTAATTCAAATCGGAGTTTTTTTTATAGTCGACAAATTTTAGCTGTCTCTCTTCGTGCTGGGATTTGACGTATAGGCAAGGGAGAAGGATGATGTATTTCGAAAACGGAGGGATGCTTCGTGCGTATATTTATCATGACCTGTAATTGGCATTCAAAGGAGGCTCTGCAAGGGATGCTAAATATTAATGGTCTCAGCCGAGTACGACATGTTTACCGCGTATCACCGCAGATGCTCCAGTTAATTGAGACAAAACCGAGAGAACGCTGGGAGAGAGGCTCAAAATTTCAGACACGTTTCTTTATGACTAATTAATGCAGAGAAAATGGTAAATACCAATTTGAGAGGATGCTTATTTGGCTCTAAACAAACTGACAATGAGAAAGGGCAAAATTTTTGCAAGGATGTTCCCTTTTAATTTGACTTTAATGAAAGACTAAATTAGTTCGAAAGGAGCTTTCCAGTATTGATTTTATTCTTGAATTCAAAAGAACGCAAAATTTCATGACAGATGTTGAAATCAAGATTTGCACTCAATTCAAACACAATTTTATAATTGAAATATTTAAATTTTTTATCTGTTTCTTTTTCTTCTTTTTGCATAAAATTCTGTCCCCTTTCATTTCAAAGTAAAAATTCTATAAAATTTTAAAATTGAACTGTTAAAACCTCCCAGAATTGATTCTAGATGTGGCATTTTCCTCCGGTTACAGCATTAAAGGCCAAGTTCTCCGTGTCGCAGAAAGGACAAACATAGCTAGAATTCAATTCAACGGTCGTCGTCACCGCACGCGTGTGCACGCACGCGTTCGTCATTTGCACAAAAGTCGTTCTGCCCTAAAAGCAAACGAAGGAGGCAAAGGCAAGGCACGCAGAAAGCGATAATTTATTCATTGCCGGGGAGTCTCACCGTACAAGCAAGGGCAAACAGTACACCAACAAACACAGAGTTATTATTTGCACTTGGAATGGGTCTGCTGCAGGCTGGAAAAGGAGGTTCTGCATCCTGCTTTTCGTACGGGCACGTAAACACAAACTTGATTTCTCCTGTGGCTTGCAATCTGGAATAATTCTGGCCTTTGTTTTTTTTTATATGCGCCTTCGAAGAAGACGTAGTGGCCCTTTCGACCGTTAGCATGCGACGGGCTTGAACCCGACAAAGGAGAAACTAATCTGGTAAAGGAGTAATGACAACGGAGAGGCAATAAAAAAGTAATACTCTAGCCAAGAGGAAAAAGAGAAGTGAATGCACAATCGACATTTATCTACTGTTAGAACGAGAAATCAAACTTTTTTTCTTGTGAATAATTTTCATTAAAATAATATTAAAGAAAGATTGAAATGACTATTATTATAAAAAAATTAACTCCGTTCAATAATTAATTTTATTGGATTTTTTTTTCATATTTTTTATATTCAATTAATAAAATGAACATATAAAATTTCCAATTATATGAAACTAATACAACCCTAAAGAAATTTATTTCAAAATTCCAGATAATAACAAAAATTTATTTTTCAGAGAATTTCGCTTCAAATCGACTTTTGAATATTTCAACAGAATCTGGAACCCAAAGGAGATTTTTTTCCACCAGATTAGTTAATAAATACGAGAGATTCAATTAAAAAAAAGAGAATAATTTCCAACCTATTTTCTTTTTGCATCAGTCTATTCTTAATTTCTCATACTGTTATTTACAAAATCGAAATTTCCAATGAACGCATTGTTGCTCCATTATTTGCGCTTATGTGACGATGTGACATTTGCACGGGAACCCGTCGCGCCGAACGAGCTCCCCAGTCGCTTTATTGCATAGACCCGGCGGAGCAGCGATCTCCTCGCCGATTGGGCGGGATCTGTGGGTTGATATACGACGGAGAGATTTATGCCGACGCACTTTCAAAGGCTGTCACAGCGATATATTCACTACGCGAATTATGGGCCGAAGCATGAGTTATTGGCAGCACAAAAGCACATAAGTGTTCGGCTAATGTTCATGCAGCGTGTTTGCATATTCGGGGTGGTTGGTTGAATGAGAGGTTGTTGCATGTGGAGAATTGCACTCGGCGCTCTGGGGGCTCACAGCGTGATCACGAGAACTCAAATTTCTCTTTATGAACTAGAGTTCAGCGTTATGCGAACGGTTTGTTAAAAAGTTTTTTAGTGAGTAAGTTGGCGTGCTTTGTAGGATCTCTTTGAACTAAGAAAATGCACAGAAAAAATGAGCTCCGAATCTCATATTAAAATGCTTTTTAAACACATTTATGAGTTATTGATAAAAAATTAATAATTACAATTCATAATTTAATATTTTTAGAAAAAGTTATTAATAAATACAATGTTTAATGTAAATAAGATACAACATACACTGACAAAAATTAACTCTAGTATTTAAAATAATATATTTTATATTCATGGGCTTGATAAAATAATAAAATCAACATTAAAGTGTGTTGAAATAGACAAATTGGTTACTTAATCACGTGAAATTTGATTAAAGTCAAATTATTTTAACGGAAGAGTTTGCCAACTTTGTGATCTGCTCATGATTTTAATCACCTAAATAAAAACGTAAGCAGACTGGACTGTATTCTCAGAAATTTACCGTTTGATTAAACTTTCTTTTAAATTTTATAACACTTCAAACACTGACATTTTTATTATATTTTATTTAAGTGATACATTTGAAAAAATAATACCGTCTAATGTCTTAAGTGCCCAGCGAATCTCACAAATCACTGACTTACTTTTGATTAAATGTAAATTCTCAAACTGGATTTATTTGGATTTTTAGCCATACGTCACTATTTCGCAGCAGAGTAAAAATGAACCAATTATCGCAATGCAAATTATGATCTGCGTTGTAATTTCGCCGTTGGTCACCCGTCGTCACTCACTGTCAAGACAAAAGGGTGAACTGTGTCTTTCGAGAACAGCAGTCGATTATGATAATCAGCGCTAAACCGATGGCCAAACAAACCGCGTCACAATTTCAAATAGACTTTTGTCATTTTTTGAACAAACCGTCGCGTCATAAATTTAAAAATGGACTATACTTGGCTCATTGTTAGTCGACATAACAGACGCGACCGGAGAAGACCTCAGCACAGCCACCATCCGCGTTCATCTGACAGGTAGGATCATTTTAATATTTTTTGCTCTCCGCATCTTCTAGAATTCCGAGAATGGTCATTTCTGGCCAAACCAGCGCCTTTCTAACGGGATTATCAATCAAATTATAATTATTGCTGTCGGTATGAGCACCAAAGTGGCACTGGCGGCGGAAGTTTCACTTGGCGTGAAAGACAAGTTAATTAGTGGTTGGTGCCTGCACTTGAAAAGAACTTGATCATAGAATTTGCATTTTTCATTAAAAATAGTCCAAAGACTTTTTTTGTGATACTGACCTCGATTTTTGAAAAATAAACTAGTGGTTAATTTGAGAAATTTTGTTTCAAAAGTGGTGCAGTGTGTTTCTTTGTTCCAAATCAATATTAATGAGAGATATCAGTGACGCTGAAATACCGACTGATCAAAATGCAGAGCACACGTAGAAATATATACTCTCTACAAGGAGAACAACTTTTGTGATTTTGCTCTACGTTGTATATTATTATTGTGTACGACGGTGTTGGGTGAAAGGCGGAATCAGATGGAGGCATAACTTGATCCAGATTAAGAATATCATTGAAGCATATCACGTTTTGCGTCGTACGAAAATATTATACGAAAAGTACGAAAACCCAATATAATTTTCAGATGTCAACTTAAAAAAAATCAGATATGGATATTCAATTTAAATCTGAAATAGTTAATTTATAAAATTGTTTGCTTTTTTTCCGTTCTCCAGAGCACTAAAATAATTAACTTATTTTAATTTTCGGTTGTTTTAAAAAAAATTCTAACTTCACAATCTTGCTCAAGTAAGATAAATATATATTTTTTCATATACCTATCAAAGGTACAATATTGATTGAATTTCACGTTTTCAATAAATTAAGACGCCTGTAAATTTATATTCGTCACTAATTTTATCCCAATCGTCCTCAATAATCGGAATTTCGAATGTAAATTTGATCACACATGGTCTACCGCTGAAGTTTATTTCCTGCAATGGAGCTGCATTAATTGACCGAAGCCGCTTGGCATGCAGATGTGCAGGCCGAGCACCGAAAGTTCCCAATCAGACTAGCGGAGACGGCCACTGCATAATTATTACAATTCGCCGAACCACACACAGCACTTGGTTTTCCACCCACGATTATCTATCAATCCACAATAACCGTGCTTAATACCAAAGCTCTCTCATTCAGCTAGACCATAAATATGTTTAATTTCAGTGGAATGCCATTTGAATGCGCGTCGCTTTGAATAGCCGAGAGCAATTTATCATAGCCGGCTGGCGCTCTTTGAAGTGCGAGAGCCGCAAATAAAGGATATATTAGTGGTGCATGCATATGTGCCGTGTGCACCTTCTATTCATTCGCGATGAGCATAATTTATCAGCATACACATATATATGTACGTGCATGCGGCTTGTAACGGTCTGCTACTGCAGCAGAGTGAATGCAAATTAATCGCGGCGGCTTGCGGAGTTTTTTTTTTTATCAAGAGTGAGCAAATAGTAGCATATTGTTTGCTTGAAATGAAGCTCTGCAAACACTGCAGAGTGATTTTTTAATTAATTGATAGAAGGAAAACTGTAAAAATTATTGCGGTAGAGCAATTATGGGATGCATTCAGTCGTTCTGGGAAAAGTAATTGGTAATTGGTTCTAAAGAGAAAGACTGCAATGCAATTTTGTATTAAAAAATTAATTTACTAAAGACTTTTCTCCATGAAAATTACATGAAATTCATATATACTAAACATAAAAATATTGATTCCTTTGAATTATATTTTTATAAATATATAATTTTTTCTTGAAGTAAATATTTTAGCTTAAATTCTAGTTAAAAAGTCCTGGAAGTATATTTTTTAGGCAAAAGAAGTATGGCAGAGTCTGTTTTACCAAATTGTTATTCTTTCCAATTTATATTGCGGTAAATTACATTAAGATATCATTACAATGAAAAATTCGAAAAATTATTAAAAAGACTATCTTTATATTTTGTAAATAAATTTTGGTCCTGAAATAAAAAATAAGCCTGAAATTGATCCAGAATATTAAAATAAAATCACAAAATCCTCTAGCAATAATGAAACTTCCTCAAATTAGGCTTGCTTGAATGCGGATTGAAAAAATGAAATAAATTTTCAATGGAGATAATTAGGAATTTAATTTTTTCCAGATAAGACTTTAATTAAAATTTTTTAGAAACTTCATTCTATTAGTTCTTTCATTGTTGCATCAATAAAAGAACAAATAGCAAACTATTAACTCTGTAATCTCGAGCTGAGCACCACCACTTGTCTTTTAGCTCCAGAGAGAGATAAGGAGACTCGCCCAAGCCAAATCTGAGTGGGTCGCTGGTGCACACACTCGGAATTACAGCCAGCCGCGAGTTTATAATTCTGAAGACGTGGCACATGTGTGCGAGCACATAAGCGAGCGTCGCGAGTATTGGGCCACGTAATTCATTATGAATAATGTACCACAATAGCTGCAGTGCCACTGCAACACTCCTTTATTGCGTTCGCATAATTTTATTATATATTATGTGCGTCGAGAGTGAAATTTTTATTAATTTACAAGGTAGGCGACTGAGAGGCGCTCTTTTGTGCAAGGCCTCCTTTCGAGTCCAACAGCTGAGATTCGACACGCAGCATGAGAGGCACAAATTAAATAATTCAAGGCTGCTGTTTTTTGAAAGGCGTTATGCTGACGATCCAAGAAAACTGCTGTATTCGATACGCAACGTTGCAGTAAAATAATAATTCTAAGAATTCTAAGCAAAAATGAACTAAAAATTGTTATAAAATAAATTAAACTATTTCCAGTTAATAATTAATTATTTACAAATGCATTAGGGATAATATTAAATAAATAATTTGAAAAATTAAAAAAAAATCTTCAAAATTTAGTAAATAATTAATATAAATATAAAACCTTCCTACAAAAATTAAAAATAATGCCTCACCTGGAGTCGAATTTGGTACCGTCGTTGAGGGTGCCCGTGTAGTGCATGGTGAGCATGTCGCCCGACTTGGACTTGGTGGTGCAGCCATCAGGTACGGACACAGTCTCAACTTTGAGTTTTTCCTCCTTGGCACTGACGTGCGCCACTGAGAAGCACGCTAAGCTGGCGAGCAGCGCGCAATAGCTTCTTCTCAGTTGCATGATATTGTTTTGATTAGGAATAAAACAATGACGATTAGGCAGGGGCGGCCGGTGCGTCCGTTCTCCGCTGCGGTGCCGAGTCTTCTGGCGGCGCGCTGTGAACCAAGTGACTGGTTATGCTTCTATATCACACACACTCGGAGCGCAGAGCATTGCTCTCCTTCCCCCTTCCCTGCGCTGCTTATTTTGTACCAAAGAGGGGCCCTGTCTATTCCACTGCCTATAAAAATTTAATTCTTGTGACTCGCGATCGCTTTCCACTGATGTGTCAGTTTTATAAAAAAAAATTGCTTTGTGGGTGTCGATTTTTCTTTCTTTCTAAAATCATAGATTTCTCGCAGAGAAAATAGTCTTAATTCTTCAATGCGCCACTGAGTTTATTTTTGTGTCAGCTTATAAGTAATGATGTGATTTCTATTCTCTGCTCAATGAAATGAGAAAGCAGACGGACGGAGATTTTTTCAGGAAAATTGAGCAACAGGTATCTTGCTCATTTTTTGGCACTGTTTTGACCAAGTACTAATTGCATTGGTTTCTTTCTACTAAAAATTAAATTAAATGAATGTAGAAATTAAATATCACAGCTGTAGATTAATAATTTTATTTTATTTTTATTTATTTTTTTATTTTAATAGTAATTAACTATGTAAGTAAAATTTTGTCCACCAAATAATATTGTTTACACCACCTTAATATTATGGCTACACTAAACTTAAAGAAGGGGGAGCGATTTTGCACACCTTTTGAACCTGTTATAAAAGTCAATGTCCTAAATTTTCTAATCACGCTAAATATATTTTCAAACATCCGGTGTGCTCAAGATATGACGATGGTTTTTTTATTTGCACCTAAGAAATGTGTTGTAAAATAATAATTCTGCTATTCCAATTTAGCATCACAATTATAATTCAGAACAAATGATTTACAGAACTATTAATTCCTAATTAATTAACAATAAGTAGTTATCTATTTGAAATAACTTTAAAAAGAAATTCCGTTAATTATTGATGATTCACAGGTTTAGCGAGTTTTCATTTCAGTGCAGAAAATTATTCTTTACTTCCAAATTAAATTTCAAAGTGCTAACACGAGAGATTGTGAGTTGAAAGGAGAAAATCAAATAAAAGAGAAATCCGCTGCATCTCCAAATCACTTTTTAGCTTTTTAAAACACACTTTTCCTAATTGACAATGGAAGAAGATGCATCAGCAACAGACAATGAATCTCAATTAAACGAAACGCGAGCATGAACTCGCAATTTCACGCGGCATGAAATATAAAATTATCGCTGCATGCTCTGCAGATTTCATTTTTTTTCACTGCGTGCCGCATGCGATCTCGCGTTAAAGATAAATCTTCGGAATTGTATTTGCTGTATGCTTAGCTCGGTATGATTCACAGCTAATTGCACTCACTTAGTGCATGATCGCAGGTACGTGCAAGAAGCAAAAGGGATAGTGCAGGTATAATATTTCACGTTCAGATCCCTTTCCCGAAAAGAAAGTCCACCGCGAATTTTTATTCATGAGGCGTCTTGACGCGCAAAGTGCAATTTTGATTAGTGGGGTCCTTAAACCCCCTCATACGCGAGAAAAAGGCGCTCCATTTTCCATTTCCTTAATGTATAATAAAGATGAATCCCAACAAAGTGACGTGCAGCTTGATTCTTCCGTAAAGAGCAAACAAATCTTTACATGGAGAGAGAAAAAGTACTTTCGCTGCGCCGGTGGTGCATTTATGAAAGTGGCGTTTCAAAGCGATCTGTCTGTCGCGTGCTAAATTTATCATCTCACATACATGCGTGTGTTGTCGTTGTGAGCATCTTCCTACACGAGAATAATGAGAAAGTAGTGCCTGATGACCAATAGCATTGCTATGACGGTTCAAGGAAAAGTGTACTCCGGAAAACCTGCTGAATCCTCGCTGCAGTTTTCAGCCAGTGACTTGTATAATATATTATATAGGAAGAGATGAAGTAACGTTAATAAACATAACATCTCAATTATTCATAAACAAAAAGTCATTTTCTAAGGGAAAAAAGTGAATATTATAAAATTATTTATTTATTGAAAAACTAGGATAATATTTTTTTAACTCACTAGTCAAGATTTAAAACAAAACAAAGTCTTTTGATGCCTGGTTTGTTTTCTAACAATTTTTTTGATTTTATAAATTAGTAATTAAAACATAAGCACCTATTATTTTAAACCAAAATTTAAAATTAAATAAATTAATTTATTTTTGCAACACATATTATTTTTAAAAATTAATTTTATTATAATTTTACATAAGAAATTATTTTTTTAAACTTCAATATTTATTTATATACTAAGTTCAAAACCATGTAGCTATTGACAGTTTTAAAGAAATTGGGTTTTATAAAATATATTTCTCAGAAAAAAATAAATTTCTACTGGTCAGTTTCAGTTCATGACTGATGAAAATTTGATATAGATCAAAATAAAGTTAAAGTGGTTAAAGTAGTTAAACGTTTCTTGTTGCTAAAAAAATTGTCAAAAAAAGATTAATTTAGATATTAATTTTTTTCAACCTGATATTGACATAATTTTGCTGGTGCTCATGTTTTCCAAAACGCCCACCCCTTTCCTATACCAGCATTATTGCAACAGTGGCGCGGATGGGCCAGAAAACGTGATCGCGAGCGATTGCAATGGCTTAAAACAAAATTAGCAATCTCTCAAGTATCCCTTGGTGGAAATTTGATTGTATAGGAATCAAAAGAGAGCTTTGAAAAATCCCCATTTCGCAGAAAGGGAACGGAAAACAATCGCACAATGAAGATTAAAATTCTCACATTTTTTTTATGTTTATATTTATTTACTTGATAAATTGTTTTTGAGAGGAAATGTAATGCTGGAAAATGCGAGAAAGAAAAGGAAGCTTATGTGTGATGTGGGAAAGTGGCGGAAATATTACCTCATGATTTATGCATTTATGTGCTCTTTCGGATTCGTTTTCTGCAAGAAGTGACGCAGATGGTGAGGAAAACTCACGTCCCGTGAGATATGTTCTCGAGCACACGCGTGGACCATATATATTCGGTCATACATGAACTTACTTGTAAAAGAGAAGCCGCAGAAGCGCCTCGGAAAAGAGCATCCTTTTCATTTTAAATTGGAATCGTCTATATCTACCAAAATGCTCTTATTTTTGGATAAAAATACTCCCATCAGTTTGTTAAAAAATTTCGCGCAGAGATAAATAACTTCTAACCTACTTTCTGCAAAAGGGTGATGATTTTACAAGATGTGCGCATTTCCATCACGCGGTGCAAACAAAGGGCTTGATAAAAATGAAATATTTTCCCTCTAGAGAACAGCGTTTCAGGTAAACAAACCTTATTATTAATTTCCAAGAAAGTTAGAAACAAGATAGGAGGCATGTAACCCAAATTTGCTTATTTTCAATATGGAAAAATTCCTTTTCTATTTTTGCTTTGAAATTTCATACTTTCAAAATCAAAACGGTGAGGAAGGAGATATTAATTCATTTTTGTGAAATACAATGATAAATTGAAAAAAACAAAAAACAAGCAATTATTAACCATCTTATTAGCAACTAATTTTCTTAAATTATGTACGTCATTCAATTCGATTTTTTTTTATTACTAAAATTCACCTGAATCCGCCTTTCTTCCTTTCTTTTCAATCTATGTTCTTATTCTTATATGATGCCTTTTAAATTAATTTTATATTCCAAAGAAATGCGCACAGCTCCACATATGTGTTTATATGAAGTGAAATTTACGTCGTCGTGTGGAGATGTCATAATCATTTCGCTCATTATTTCGCAATTACGGTGAAAATCAAGACATCGTCGTCATTCTCTTCAGTTCGTCAGCAGAGATGATTTTACTGGATGATGTGACGTTTGTTGCTCTCTCGCATTGCAAATTCTGAATGAGACACATTTCTCCCCTCGCCATACACATAAATATATTATATTTTCTTTTGAGAGGTTGCTGAAAATCCTCTCAAATAATGCTCGGCAAGAGGCGCAGGGCGTCATTAAATTTTGCAACTCTCTTGTACGCAAGCTGTATAGAAAAGTCTTGTGCACTCCTTGTATAATTGCATGGGCTGTGAATGAGTAACAGTTTGCAGGTCCTTTTTTGCACCCGTGCCGCGAAACGCAGCAAGATAATTAAAACTTGGCCGCAGTGAAACGTGCAGTTGAATTGGAATTGATTAATTTGAAGAGTACCTTATTGATGTGCATGAAAGGACAATTCTGCAATTGAGCAGTAAAAGTGAAATGAATACTGTTTAAATAAAAATACTTATCACCATGAGCTCTACAAGCTACATTTTGAGTCTCGGAGAATATTTTATTTATTTATTATTATTTATTTATTTATTCTCCATTCATAGTGCATACAACGCAAAAAAGTACACTGTACAAAAAAAAGCGGAATCATGCATCAACATAAAAAAGTACAAGCATACAAATAAATGCCGAAATCAGGAGTCGGAAATTTATGTACATGTACAATGCTGGAAATGTAAATTTTAAATTTAAAAATCTTCAGATTTAAGTATTTCTCGATCAGGGTGAAAACAAAAATTCTGCTTAACATAAGTGTTACACTCAACAATATAAACTCAAAAGTCAAAATAGTCCAGAAATCTACAAAATTAAATTTTTTTCATAAAATAATTAACGGTTCACAATCTCGTTGCAAGATATTTTGGGAACAGAATGAAAGTTTGAATTAATTATAAAAATCAAAGCGACACTTTTCTTCAGTCTAAGTTCTTAACTAAATATTTATAAAAGTTTAAAAAAAATCATGGCTATCTTAAATAAACGTTCGTACGCGTTTATTTCTCAATTCTCAACTTTTAAAAAGGTATCCTTATAAAATTTTACTTTAACCTTTCCATTCCCATCCTCTAAATTTGTTTAACAAATTTTGGAAACTTGGAATTCTTCACACCTTCGTTTGCCAAGTTGCGACACTGGCTTGATTGGCAAACAAACGCTCAGCACTTATAAATGAATGGGCACCTCTCTTTACCTTTTTAGTAGGCTATGTCATGGAGGAGCTTTATTGTGACGATAATGTGCCAGTGCGGTGGCCCTTGGCTCCCCAGCAGTCATTCCATAATAAACACCAGTGGCGAAAGAAAGCAAAGGAATTTCAGTGCGTGCTCAATCACACACTCTCAATTACGAAGTTGGCTCGTTTGGTACCATTAGTTTTCGCTAATCGACGCTGCAGGTTGCCGCTCCGATAGTTCCATCCGCTATTCCTATAGTAACGCGCATAATTTTTGCGATCAATCTTATTTTTATCAGAACTTTTGAGGCTGCGAATCACAATTAAATTATTATCTGACAGACCCCATTTTCATCGGTGATCATCCCATTGGTTGATCCGCCGTTATCAGTCACGTTTTTTTTATTGGGTGTTTAATTAATTCAAGGTCTTCCACTATGCTTGGACTCGCACATCAGCACCAGTCAGTTTCGTCTTTGGTGACCAACTCGTCCAGTAGTATTTTGGCCATGGAGGACTGCCCACCTGTTAAGCAACGGTGAGTAATGAAAAAAAAATTACAATTTTATCTCATTTTTTTTTTTAGAATCAGTTTTGACCAACACGTGCTGTAATATAAAAATTTCCTTTTTCTCGCTCATTATTTTTATTGCTCTAACTCGGATCAAAACGAGTGGAATTCCCCGCGGACAAAGTTTTTCCCTGCTCTCTCCACGACCTTAAAAAATTCAAGGATTTTAGCTTCTTTTGAATATGTAAGGCGCTAATTACCAAAACTCCTCAGAGAAGAGCCCAGATTATTTTTTTTTGCTCTCTCATTCTTTGAAAGCGGATTGCCCAGGTAAAATTTCCTCTGTTCTATACTCGCAGGGCTTGCGAAAAACGAACTAAATTATGAATTTGTGCACTAAAATTTAACGCCAGCATCTCTCGGCGCCACGCGGGCGTTTACATTTTTCTTCGAAAATACGGCACCGACCCGGCGATGATGATGCCGCTGCGGGCGGGAACAAGCTTCGCAGTGTATTTGAATATTACATGTCCCCGTGCTTCCTTTATTTGTCGTTGAATCAACAATAAAAAAGACTTGCAGCCGCTCTCTAGCCGCAAAATAGTTAGAAAAAGGCAAAGCGTTTTTTGCATCTAACCCAGGCTATAAAAGTAAAAGACGCAGGAACAGAAATATACGTTCAACTTGGGATTGGCTCGAGTGTCGAGGGACTAATTATTTTTTTACCGCTTGACGTGGTGCAACTCCAAAGCATTTAAAGCGCAGAATTGAATATTTGCACTGAAAAATTCTATTTACAATGAATGGTCTAAGCTGCGCGACTAATGAAAAATATCTCGTTAAAAAAAAAGGTAAATTTTAAAATTCACAAAAAAAAGTTTCAAAATAATCATAATATTAAAAAAAAAAAATCAAATCATTAACAGACAATCAAAATTTCAATGATTAGTATTCAGAATTTGTGTGAGTGGATGTCCAGTAAAGTTGAAAAAAAAAATTAATCGCATGAACACATTTAAAACACTCATTTTGTTCATTAATGAAAAATTGAATAGATAAGGTTAAAATTTGATGCACTTGCAATGAATGATTTGAATTATTATGATGAATTTTTTTGTATTAAAATATATATTTGCATTAAAAAATAGGCATTTACACTGGACGTAAAACTCAAGAAAAGCCTTTTCCTCAAATTCGATTTGCTTTTCAACTTTTCTGCTTACACGTACATAACGAAAAGTTTTCTTTCCCCTTTGCGGAAATCAGATCAAGTAAGCCGTCATCAGTGTTATCAGGGTCGTGTGGTATGGCATAATAAAAAGAAACGCAAAGTTTCGGCATTGGGGCTCCGTTCGCACACACAGAAATCCCGCAGACTTGATGAATAATTCAGAGCAATTTTACACACCTCCGAGGTGTAATTCGGCCAAGAGGAAAAGTTCATGCATAATATCTGAAAAGGCTGGGAAAATAAGTAAGACACGATGCAGGTGGATTGTCTCTTTTTATTCCTTTACGAACTTTCGCATTTTGGTCAATTTATCACTGAAGGCGCGCCCTTTTATGGCAACGCATGTGTGCCTTCACAATAAAGAAGCGCAGACACGTGTGTGACAAAAAAAAGTAAGGAAAATCATAATCCCGGCTTGGGAAGTGTGCAAGGTGCGCGAGGGCAGCACCAGTGTAAATAAATACACAGCCGAATTATGGATTTTCTCGTTTTCTGCTGACAGGAGAGAGAGAAAGGATGGATTTTAGTTCAGTTCTTACCTTCAAAATAAATCTGAAATAAAATAATTCATACATCTTGTCTAATTAATGTGCAAATGAGCTTGTATGAGGACAATAGAAATTCACCCTCCATATCGAGTAGACTGCAAAAAATCTCATCTGCACCAGTGAGCTCATTGAATCAAACTTATTCCATGTATGCTAATTAGGCTGGCTGCTTTTTATTGCATAGTAATTAATTCCATGACGGAGAGAAAAAGGTATGCTTGTTGTAGGAAAATTTCTTCTCTTGAACAAGCTACACAAAAAAATCAATCCTATCTCTGAGTCTCATAATAGGGGCGCTCTTCTGTTCCTCTACAAACGAGAAGATTGGAACTTCTTCTGGGGAAGTGTTATTTGCACACATAATTTCATTTCGCTGGGTGTGCGATTGTACTTTCCAGCAACTTAAGTAGCGTGTTTTTGCTCCAATTCGATTATTAGACCAAGCACTTTCAAATTTTGTTTGTACAACGCCTTAATTGTACAAAAGCATGTATTAAAGGTCAACACGGCGCTGAAACTCTCTCAAGAGCACATATTGCCTAAACTGTATGCAAAGCTCTGAAGTATGTAAGGAGGAAAGCTAAATGTTGGAAATTATGAAACTGAGATGGAAATTGATTATGCTTTCAAAAAATTGAATAACTCGCCATTCTTCTTGTTCGTCACATTAGTAACAAAATGTATTTTTATTAATTTTTTTTTTTTAAGTAAGAGTAATTTTAATAAAACTCTTGATTTCCGTGCTGCACAGGTGCAAAAAAAATAGATTTTTACAAGCATATTATAAAAATCTTTATGGTAATTTGTGACTGACAAATATGATCATTTTTCAATATTTTAAAAAATAATTTGCGATGCGCAGTTAAAAATAATGATATTTCAAATTTCAAAGTGCATTCATTATCAAAGGGTGTATCGTAAGTCGGAGGGATTTAAGATTTGTTATTAAAAATATGCGATAAAAAATTTTGATTAAGAGATACGATTTCAATTCCGAACTTTGAACGAAATAAAAATTAAAATTCCACGCAGCAGAAAATCGCTCCTGAAACTACTTAATTTAAGCATCGAAAAAAGATGAATAATTTATTTTATCATTTTATGCCACTCGAAACTGACAGTTTGATTGTGATATGAATTTCACAATTATTATTGTTTTGACTTTCAAAACGCGGGAGCCACTTGATTTTGTGAATGGTTGTGCCCATGCGTATTTTGCACCCTCGCTCGCAGCATCCCTCGTTTCGGCGAGAGGGATCGATAAATCTCCGCCATACTAGTTTCATCTCAAGCGGCTGGCTTGGTCTCACCACTTTCGCAACTAACGCAAGCGAAAAATTCGGCCAGCTGCGTTCACTAATTCGCGGTCTAGGTCCCGACAGGGAGCTTAATTGAGTGTGGTTTGGCACAATAAAATTAGGGCTCGCGAGTGAGATCCAAGACTGAGAGAGGACGACGTGTGAAGAAAGCATGGAAACGTGAGTATTCTCCCGGAAACTTTATTTTGAAACGCAATGCCACGTGATGTTGTTTATTGTGTTCCCCGAGATCCATTTTTTATATATATACGTACGATACTTGTCTTGAAACCAATGCAGCATAAACACAATCTCGCATTAAAAAGCAGCTTCTCTGCTAGATATTCGTCGATGCAACGCAAATAGGGAAAATTATGAAAATGCAATTTTCGCGCACTAAAAACTTTTCGTATACGAGAGAAATCTGACAGGCTTTCATCAATATTGTACAAAAATGTTTTTTAATTAATTATTGCAAGTTTTGTGTTGGCCTTAAAAAAAATAGTAGAACAAAACTTGTGAAAGGTAAAAATAATTTTTCTATTTTATCAAGGCAACCTGGTAAGGATATTTGATTTATGGGAATTTGATTATCAATTACTACTGGTTTTCACTGCTAAAAGAAAATTTTCCAAAATTATTTTAGAATTTATTAGTATAAAGTATAAAGATAAGTTAATCCAGTTAATCAATCAATAAGTGCTATAAAATTAACTTATGATGAAAACTAATTTTAAATTTATATATATTTCCTGACAAATCATTTAATTTGATTATTTTAACTAAAGTTGAACCATAGGTGAACAATAATAATTTAATTTTTTTAAAGTTCACAGTTATAATAGTTCTAGTTCCCACTTTATCCACATAAATTGGCTCAATATTTTGCCTCCAATACACTTTTATCAAGTTCAACCAGAGCCCAGCAGATGTCAACCAGCCCGCTTTTCTCGACTATTCCCGTGTCTCGTTCTCCTGCATTTAGCGACACAAGCGGCCATCATAGGAACCACTAACAAAAATAATGACCCCTTATTTAAATTTTATTAAATTTCCGCGAAATTCACGCAAGAAATCACGCTAGAATTCACGCATGAAATCAATTAAAAAATCAGTTTTGCTTCTGAAATGTCAAAATTAAAACCAAATCACTTTAAACTTGCAAAATAATAGCTGAAACCGAAGTCATATGGACCCCGAATGGGTCACGTGGTACCCACCGACCAATGGGAATCCGCGAATGGTTCTCCGTATGTCGTCATTGCTATTGAGCCACGGGACGAGCGAGGAGGCGAGAAGAAAATTATCAACTCTTTGGGTAGTTAACTCTTTGACAAGGACTAGTTTGGTGCTTCGCACGACACACTCTTACACTTCGTGACCGCAGACCTTGGAAAGGTGAGAACTCAGGTCGCACCCTCACGGCCCGAATCACGCGAAATCACGCAGCTTTCAAAATGCAATCGATCCAGGTCACAAACGTGTGTTTTTGACCAAACTCGTCTCTCACTCTATATTTGTTAGACTCACGTAGGTTCGCAATAATTTTTTTGACGATCCGGGGCTTTTTGAAGGAAATTTCAACTTTTTTTCATCTGGCCACGATGGGTTTTACAGAGACAGACCCGGAAAATACGAATTAAAAATAATTGTTCCCTTTTCCTCTCTCGCAGTTACGATTTAATGAGAGAGACGATTATCTTGTCAAACTGGATTGTGACTCACTTCTTCTCCTCCTCCTCGAAAGGATGTGCAAATCCTCCAAGTATAATATTATATTTTACTCCAAATGAACTGTTTAATTTTCAAATTCATATTAATCATTTAGGAGAATAAATTAGTAAAGTTTAGGGACATGAGCATTAAGTTGAACCCCAAGGGTGGAATTTGAATTAATGTCTTCGCTGTTTATTTACCGACTGGATCAATATCGCAACCAGCCTGCCTATTCTTGGGTTCATTCCAGGTCTGTGAACTTGGAGCGCCAAGGGTTTTTCATTTTGAACTTTAATTTTTAGAGTTTATAATTTATTTTTATTTTTAATTGATTTAACGTGACAATTGCGTAAGATATGAAAATAATTAAATTAAAAAAAACTTCAATAGTTGATAGTTTTGCCTTTAGTACCTTTTGTTTTAAACTTGAAGACATCAACAAAAGGTAATAATATTTTCCAGTTTTTCTGGATTTTTCCCCCTCCAAAACTCGATTGCAAAAAGTAAGTTTAAACCTGTAAATAATTAAGCAATTGACTGCGTAAGAATATTTACAATTACTATGATAGAACCCTAACACAATCGGCCAATAACTTATTTTGCAAAATATTAGTCACTCAACGTTCTAAATTTCTAAATCTAAACAAACCTGCCCCGACTGAGCTGCATTATTTGCATACATAATTTCTGCACGTTGCATTTTGTGGCATGCTGCATGGTTTATTTTCCATTTCCGCGAAATTTGGCATTTATTATTTTAAATCCATTTGTTTTTGTGCTTGCTTATTCCTGGCTGAAATTCACCCCCCTAGGATAAGCGAAGATGCCCGCAGGCCTAGGAGCTTCGTACAGCTCTCTGTCCGAGGACGTGTACAAGTCGACGACGACCTCGGCCGCCCCCGACAAGTTCAATGTGCTGGACTCGATGAAGAAGGCCTTCCAGCACAATTTCAAAGGCGGCTCCGGCATACTGAACAGCATCGGGGGTGGACCGGGGGCTCGGGCGCGCCACTCCAACTCCCTCGACACGGTCAGTCTGCACGCCGACGAGCCCACGCCCATTATCACCAGCAGGTAAAAAAAAACACACACACTCCAAACTCCGACACCCTCTCCAAACAACCTCACTCTTGACACCAGAGTCCAACTCTTCAAGAAGGGCACCCAATTTTTCTTTTTTTTTAGTCTCAAACTTGGAAAACTCCTAATTTGTGAATTCAGGGTTGAATATTCATTATCTAAATTTAATTTTGGCTCTTCCTTAAAAAAGTTTTTTTTTAGCAATTTATTATTGCCATATTATTTTTAAAAAATTTTGAGAAAAAATAGCTAAATTGTCCATTAAATACTGTTTTTAGTTCTGTTTCAGATTGTAAATAATAAGTTAATATTTTTCAAAAGAAATTTAAACGTGGATTCAGAAACTGAGCGAGAAAAGCAATGCTTGGATAACGAATTAAAATTTCCACTCAAAAAGTCTTAATTTTTTAGTTTTAAGTGTAAAAATAAATTATTTTGGAAACAGAAATTTAATGTTTTGAAAAGAATTAAAATTTCCATTCAAAAGTAGCATTGGTTTTCTCACTCAGTTTCTGAATCCACGTTATAATTCTTTTGAAAAATCAAAACGGTAACTGGAATACACTTAACAACACAAACACGACACAAATCTTAACTAAAAAACACACATTCATACTAATAAATTTAAAAGAAGTCAATATTTTTATTATTATTATGTTTTGAAAACTGCAAATTGGATTTTGAGTCTAATTTACAGTAATGTATCAAACACATTAGCGATGGATAATATATATTTTTTTTCTAATAATTAGTCGATAACAATGAATGATTAAAATAACATCAAGGAAAAGCCAAGGTTCTATTCAAACATCAGTATTAATTTTTATGATCAAGTAGGATCATGGTTAATGAATTTTTTTAAATAAATTTCAAAAAGAAAACATGTTTTTTTTATAATTTTGAAATAAGCAATCAGTCAATATTTAATATTTATTCATTTTTTTTATCTTTTATTGATTCCTACTATCAATCCAGATAAGTGTTAAATAACTTCCTTATTGTTTACTTATTTTGACTTAATTATCAGTCAGAAACCTTTGAAATCTCGTTTTGCTGTCCCTCCTTGAATCCGTGATTACATATTATTATTATAAGGTTGATATCTCTGTAAAAGTTGTAGACGATTGATGTTTCTATACCGCTTCTATTGCACCTTCAGTCTAGTTTGACAGTGAATGATTATAATTATGCATGCTAGTGTCTCTTGAAACACCAAATGCTTGAAATTTGCACTTCTTATTATTACTTGATGTGTAATTAGAATTTCCAATGAAAAAAAATAATGATCTTACTCGGGGTAATTGCGTTCAAAACCTATGCATCACGAAACACACTCACACACTGTGTACAGAAAAACAGTCCTTTGAAAAGACGACTTTCATTCTAGGGATAGCAGAAGGATGCCCAGCTCAGCCGAAGAGACTGCCCTCTTGGGGTAAGACATAACCGAAAAGAAGCACGTCTCAAAACGGGCACTCTTAAGGTGGTTGGATGCACTGTTCTGTCTCTCATTCATTCTCCTCGAATTCGAAAAGGCCAAACTGAATTGTCTGCCGCGCTGGGAAATATTTTTTGTGCCAACAAGACTTCTTGCTTTGTATATTCTGAAGATTATCACTAATTACCTGGCGGGACAACTACTGTTGTGGTCTTTCTTGGCCACACTCTTTTTTTAGAGGTCGCGCTCTAATCTGACAAATGAACTCACCCGATGGTCCTCTCCTGTTTTGCGTCATTCGGCCGCACCACTTGCTAGAAATTATCGACCCCTTTTCGCCTATATAACTGACTGAGCGGCTAAACGCTTTTGTTTCACGAAAGCTTTATTGTTTCCCTCGTAAAGAGGACAATTCAGTTTACCACATCCCTTTTGTTTTTGTGTCATTTTTTATCGATGGCATCGTCCGAGATTCGCTACGGAACTAGCAAATCTTAGCCTTTTGCGAATTATTCTTCTCAATTCAATTTAAATTCCAAAGTCATTCGAAACAATTACAAAACCTTCACTCATTTTCATCACAAAAATAACTCTTTCTTGCTTATCACTAACTCATTTATTTTGATTTCTAGCAACAAATAAATTTTCGCACATATTCTCCACAAATTATGTTTTTATTTTCACTTCGCTTTTGCCAGGCTTTCCAAGAGCCTGGTGACGCAATATTTTTTAATTTTTCTATGAATTAACAATTTCATTCCCGGTGTGAAGCACAATTTCTCACATATGGGCCCAGCCAAGAAACCATCTAGTAAAAATTATTCAAGTGGCGTCTCGTATTTCTCGTTCCACTGCAGACGCGGTTTCGAGTGGCATTAGGTTTCTTAATGTTTACAGTTTGCACTTCTTATCACAGCAAACACGCTCGCGGTATGCGAAAGGTTAGAATAATATGATAGCACATTTGGGTGTGCGACATGAGGCAAACCAATTACCTTATTGGCGACTGAAATTTGAACAAATTATGTGTGTGTGTTGGACGTTGTGTAATTAATTGCAATGTTATATAATAGCAGAGCATGATTTTAGTGTAGCTTTAACTGTAGGTTTTTCCTGCATGAATAAACAATTTTTTAATTAAAGTTTAAAAAAAAAAAATTAAGCAGTTTTGTAAGTGGGAAATTTTAAATTATTTTGATTTATTCTTTAAGAAATATTTTTTATTCATTTTCGCACTCTTTGGTCTTTGGTCAAAGAAAAATTCTATCAAATAAAAGGCGTAGAAAACGCCGCATAGCGAGGTTGACGTCGTCGTCGCCTTCGTGAATCATTGATTGCTGCGGGCGATTCTCGTTTGTCGATTCATATTGCGTCGCATCTCATTTCCGAAAGGGGCTGTCGATTGCGTCTTCCGTCCATCAGCGGACGCAAACAAGCCCGAAAACAATTTAACCCCACATTAAGCAGGGCGAAAAATTGCGGCACACCGGCCGGCCGGCGCTGCTCGATTCGTACACGCTGGGTGTGGAAAGAGGTCGGCGGAATATCGTGAGCGAGCCGCAGTAATGCTGCAGCTGATCGATATACAAGACGTGGGTGGGTGGCTCAGTAGGTCGGGCGGGAGGGTGCCGGGGTGCAGGCCTCACAGACATCACGATATTCGTGAATGTGTGTGGATTCAGGTGCTGCCATGTCTGGCGCAATAAGGCACGTCCGCCGTCGAAAGCCGGCTGCGCATAATTCGATGACGCGGGCGAAATATTAATTCAGACAGAAATAAAAAAAAAAGATTGCAACTGGATCGATTTGAAAATGGAGACTATTCAGATGTTACCAGTTATTTTTATTTACAATAAAAAAAAAAATCATGGAAAATTAATATTCAAATTTTTGTTTCGGATTTTCTATTATAAATTCCTACATTTTTCCAGAAAGTTCTCCCCCAATAATTCTTAATATTGCCAGCAGACGCCAGAATAGATACCATTTGGGATCTTGTTTTTATTCTTATTTTTTTTTTCAAATAATATTTTAATTTTTCTATTCTTTTCCTTGGCCACTTTTTTAGACTTCATTTTCATTCTGCTGGTGTGTAATTACAGAATAATAAATTTTTCAGTGTAGGCTGCAGCTTTCTTGAGCATTTTCAACAGACTTTATTTTTTCTTTCTTTCTTTGTTTACAGTTTCATTTGTTTTATATTTTTTTACACACAAGGGCGCTGTGAATCTAATGCAAGTCTGTTGCCCTTTCCAGCCTTTTCTTATATAATTCCAAATCATACAAATGTTGAAGTTAAACAACATAGTCTCAATGAAATACACCTTGACAGGCTTCTTGTGTACATAATCCTTGAATATTTCAATATTCTGGTCCTTGAGACGGAAACTAGTTTTAGATTGTTATATTCATGAACCGAAGTTTATTAATTTAATTGAAGGAGCTCTATAAATTAATGATAGACGTACACACGTGATGAAAAGTGCGTCGCAGAATCCGAAGCAACTCGACTTAGTGCCAATCCGCGCAAGAAGCCGTTCAAGCGCCGAATATTGACTCCAGCTTGCGTGACATTGTTAATTAAAACCGAGCACGCGGATAACAAAAATCGATTTAACAAATGAACGTCTCACAATTTTTGTTTCATTTTCTACTCTCAGCACACCATTAGTTTACTCACAAACTGTTTAGTAATTTTCTGGCATCCGCCCAAAAAAATCTTAAATGAGCAGCCGCCGCCGGCTGCTGTCTGATAAAGCACAGGACAAAACGTTTCTAATCGATAATTTGATCGTTTCCATGAAATTGGAGCAGCCGGTTGCTCTATTTACTCTAATGGAAATTTAATAGTTTGCAGACAAAAAATAGCATCCATCGAAGTAAAATGCTGGCAGTATTTCTTATTCAAAGTTCTTTTTAAAAGCATTTTTTTTTACTCTTTTTGTCACTCGCTGTCATTAGAGAATTATACGGTTGGTTGAGTTGGAAACCAACTGAAAGAAGGTATGTCACGCTCTGCCTCTGTTTGAAGGTTGATCAGACAGTGACCATTGACCTGGTTGCGCAATACTGGAGTAACTAACGCGATGCACACTACTTTCTCCTTATTAGCAGGCGACACTGCAGCACACAACCTTCTGTGCAAGAGACACACAAACAAAGTAACAACAGATTAAATATTTGCATTTTGTGAGCATACCATGAGTGTGCTTACATAGTGTAAGCGAAAATATTAAATAAAATGATATCACTTAAATTAATTAATTTCTGTTGGAACTTTGCCCTGCACGGCCATTGGCTTATTTGCCTCCGATGTATTTCTAGAATGTGTCTTAATGTACAAATATACATAATTCCGGTTTGTGCCACACACCAGTCGCTTTCGAGTCTTTCACACGAAAACACCGAATGTAATAATGAGCTCGACACACGCTTCTAGAAAAAAGGAGCATTTGGAAAGCAAAATGCCTCTGCTGGACCGTAGGAAAGTATTTAGATTTATCGCTAGAAATGTGTACAAATATCCGCAAAAAAAAAATTAATTTGTTGGGAAATTTTTGCTCCAAAAATAATGGTGAAAAATACTGGCTTTGTTTTTCATTGAGCAATAAATTATCTGACCTAAATGTGCCTTTTGTTTATATCTTTGCTCTGCGAATATTCTAGAGTAATTCTTTATCAACTTAAAATGGGTTAGAGCATGAAATTTTGCACTCGGGTGGGCCGTCCTAATAAACAAGCGAAATTTAAAAGTTCTTTCATAAGTTGCCAATTTTTATGCAGACGAGCAACTTGCTCTCTGTGCCAAAAGCTGCTCCTGGCTACCCCTTTCGGCATCTGTTGCTGCGCTACCCATTTTAAGCCCTCTTGTGTAAAAGTACATATATGATTCGCTTCCTACATCCCCCAGCCACCCTTACATCCACTCGAGCTTGTCTGAACAAGCTATGGCTATTTGACGCCAGCAGACTTGACCCATTTTAAATTGAGTGTTTCCCATTCCATGATTCGCAGACGAGACGATCAAGCAAGATTAAGTATTACTGGAGTTTGTCTGAATTTGTAAAACCAGATTTTAACAGCAAGTCCTTGCTCCCTGTTACAGCACAATGCCTAGCGACAGCATGGACGACATTGAACTCAAGAACATCCAGTTGCAGTTCCCTACTGCACGCACCCTCTCAAGAGATGAAACCAACACCACGGAGGAACAGGTCATGACCGAGAAGGGATCCATTCTGGTCGCCATCCAGGGTGACCGACGCAAACCCGCAATTATGACCTTCCACGACATTGGCCTCAACTGTAATTTTAATTTTATTTTATTCCAGTCGACTGATTTTTTCCCCTTTTTTCAGACATTGCCAATTTTCAAGCATTTTTCAACTACATTGACATGAGGGCTTTGCTGGAGAACTTCTGTGTGTACCACGTCAATGCCCCCGGACAGGAAGAAGGAGCCCCTGCTTTACCCGAAGAGTAAGTTTTAAGTTTTGGCATAGGGAAAATTTATTTTTGCTTCTATTGGATTTTTTAGTAATTCTAAAGTTGGGAGAAAATCTAGCTTGTGAGGTAAACCGCACCTCTGCTAGCCGATTCACATGTATATCCTTTTTGAAATAAGTGATAAGGAAGTGACAACTGCGTCGCAGTTTAAGTGCCGTTTACACTCAACAACTATACAGCAGGGGTTCTAGATGCATGTGACCTGTTAGTAATGCTAAGAGAACGGACTGGATTTATTCAAAACAACTCTGAGATGCTAATTGCTTACTAACATAGCATGAGTCAATGAGAGTCATAAAATTGACGTTTAAACTTCTATTTAATCTGTAGAGGTGTTCTTTCCGCTTAATTTTTTAAATGATGAATATTGTTCCGGGAACTCGATGGGTGAAGTCATCATTTTCTCAGTTTCTTGATAGGCCAGCCTGTAAAGTTATCAGTTATAAAGGGCTATTAATCTCAACTGATTGGCTATAAAGCTATTTACAATCTTGACAGACTAGCCTACTTTAAATGTTTACTTAGAAAATTTAGTAATAAATTGGAGCAAAAAATATTGATATTTTGAAATAATTATTAATAATATTTGTTATTCATAGCTACATCTACCCAACCATGGATGAACTCGCCGACATGCTCAACATTGTGATGGCCCACTACAATCTCAAAAGCATCATTGGTTTTGGAGTGGGTGCTGGAGCTAATATTTTGGCTAGGTTTGCTCTCAACCACCCCAACAAGGTTATTATTTTTAGTTGGAAACCATATGAAGTAATAGCAAATCATAATTTTTGTGCAGGTGGAGTGTTTGTGCCTGATCAATTGCGCTTCAACCCAAGCAGGCTGGATCGAGTGGGGTTATCAGAAGATGAACTCGAGGAATCTGCGTTTACAGGGAATGACCGAAGGCGTTCGTGACTATCTCATGTGGCACCACTTTGGAAAGGTATTTGTTTTAATGATCTTAATGTTTTACCCAAAAATGCATACATATATGTTATTCAATTAATGCCAATATTATATTATTCAGGGAGATTCAATAGACTTCAATCTCCCGGAATTAAAAAATCTCCTGGAATATATCCAAAGAGGTTAAATTTAAAAAATGTTGGCGCCATCCCGCGATAACTATTTTAATTCCCCCTTTGACTACTTGCAAATATCAAAAAGCTTTTTCAGGTCAGAATTTTGGGGTGATCATGAAAATGAGGCTAAAATTAAAATCAAAAATTTGTTGGGGAATGTTATCTTCACTGTACAACTGTATTATTTAAAAGCAATGCTATCTTGGAAGGATGTTTAATTTAAATATTTACCATTCTCCATTGTACTAAATGGAAAATTAAATAACAATAATAAAATTGTAGATAAATCAAAGATTAATTTAAAATTATATTCATAGGGCACTGAGGACCGCAACCACGACCTGGTTGAGGTGTACAAAGAGTACTTCGAGAGGCATGTGCAACCCACAAACTTGGCCCTCTTCCTTGATAGCTACATTCGTCGTTCTGACCTGAGCATTTCTCGAGAGACTGACCCTGGCAAGAAGAGTGACAATACCCTGAAAATGTCTGTCATGAACATCACTGGAGCATTCAGTCCGCATATTGATGACACGGTCACCCTGAATGGTCGTCTCGATCCCACCAACTCGACTTGGATGAAGGTTTTTTACATCATTTCATAGTGGTTTTCTTGTGACTTACACCTGTGAAAATATTTTTAGATTCAGGACTGTGGCATGGTTTTGGAGGAGCAGCCTGGCAAAGTAAGCGAGGCTTTCCGCCTGTTTCTGCAAGGCCAAGGCTATGGTAAGTGCGCCACTCCACAGTAGGAGTGATCAGAGTTAAATGTCTTTGAAAATCTTTTAAATCCACACTGTACAGTAGTGATTAGTAAGAATTATGCGTCTGATTCGTTTTGAGATATGAGAGATATTAAGAAGTTAAACATTCTTGGCTTTGCGCTAAACTTCGGAGAGTTCCGATTTAAAATGGACCACCGTTATAATTTATTATTTGATTTAATGCATCTCAAGAACAGCATTCACGGCGTTTTCACTATTCTCAATTGGGGCAAGGCAGAGTTCTGTTTGTTTGTTACTATGATTTTGAGAGGCACACACATAATTAAATGCAACGACAGCAATCATTATCAAAAATGCTTTTGCCAAACTGTTTTATTTGTTTTACACTGGTTCATGAGGAATTAATTCTTGCGGTATGTATATTTCAAATACTCCTCTTGTTCATGCACTTTTGTATTTATTCCATGGATTTACATAATATATCATGAAAATATATCATTTTTAATGTTCTGCCATATTACAATATTATGTGTGTTGGAAATTCTGTCCTTGAACCCGGATATTTATTTTCTATTTCCATTAATTTTGATCATGGTGCTGGAGTTGATGCTTCTTTTAAATTTTGTAAATATTTTTTGACCACATTTTGCTAGTCAAAAATTGTCTTTTTGTTTTAATTAATAGATGATGACAAGAAAAAAAATTGTTAGCTATAATTGATCGAACTAGCTAAAATGGAATAGGCATGTGCTGTATTAATCAATTCATTATATATTTTATTGTAAAATTTGTTTTGGCCGCGACTTAAACTTTGATTTCTGTTTTGCTTTCTGAAGCTGTGAGACTTGCAAGGAAGTTGTCGTCGGCCTCTGTCGAAGGTAAATTGTCGCTCAGCAGCAATTAAACCTTCATACCCCATTCCTCCACAAATCACACTCAGTCAGTGTTCAATCAGCAGTTGAACTTCATTCATTAGTAAGTGCTTCATTTTATTTGCTATATTAAATTATCTGTGTTCTATTGGTGTTCTTGTTCATTTTTCCTGCTCGTAATTAAAAATTCCATAATTGTTTATCTTAAATTAACATAAAACTTATTCTTTTCTCTCTTCATGGTGGGCATGTGCAGCTCTATCATAATTGCAAAAATGTAGTTCCTCATCTTTGTCATTTGAGTAATAGAAATAATGGCACGAAGGGGACTAAGGTATTCACTTACAATCACTTTATAACACAAAACATATAGCATGCTTTGTTTATACATATCACACATTTTCTTTTCAAATATGAGCCATCCACTTACATTCAAATTTTCCATATTTCATTCCTCTCAAAATTTAAATAAATGGTAAAGTTTGTTATGAGCGTTTGGTGTTTTTCAATCTTTGCTTTCTATTTATATTTCATGTCGCACTTTTAATTTTATAAAATTTATTTTCTTTTTAGAATAATTTGGATTCAGGAATGCATGCTAGTGGTTTTTTTAAGTATTAAATGGTGAGACTTGGCTCAGTACTCTGTGCAAAATGCAATGGAGTTTTTAAAGAAGTGTTTGCTTTTCTTGCAGGACTCTACACAATCGGGAAGGGCAGAGTGGCCAAGACTTGTCGTCAAGCCACCACATCTGTGTCTCTGGATGGCATTGACAGTGCTGTTGCTAATATCCATATCACCGAAAATCCCATCTCAGAGGCCGCAGTCTGTTAGACGTGTGCACTCGCATCAAACAAGACCATCAGAAGGAGCACTTGCAGCAGCTTTTTGAATCACTAAGAAAAAATGTTGTGTTTTTGTACAATCCGTTGGCCTACTCAATGTCACTGATGGTCCATTGGGGATAGTGAGTTAAATATTGTTAACGAAGATGATAGGATTATAAAATAATAATAACGGCATAGGTGCGCAAATAGTATCAATTATAATTTGTCGAAATAAATTGGGTTTTGCCTCGAGAACCTAATGCGCAAGGGTTGCCGATGAACACTGCGGAAAAGCTGATTACGAAAACACACTGCTTCTAGTCAATGTCTTGAAATGCTTCTGCCTCGATTGTAAATGAGCATTTAGTTATGACTTCTCTTTTGTACCTCCGTCTCTTCATTTTCGTTCCAACCACAGCAAAGCCTTTTCTTGTGATAGACCTTAGAAAGACATAGGCCGAGTCTTCACAATACCAGATTAAACAATTTGTAGTTCGTAGGCAGTGTTGTTACATTGATAAGTAGGCGACTGGGAAAGAACTGAAGCTGGATTTTGCATATATAAAAAAGTAAAATATTATTATTCATGTCAGGTGGACGTGTATTTTGTAGGATGCACCCATATTTAATTTTAACGTTGACATTCAATAACTCCTTTTGCATTGTTCAATAACTAAATAATGGCCGTAGCTTTAAGTTTAGTTGCCAAGTTTGTGTCATTTGTAAGATTGTGCAAACTCTCACTGAGGAACGAATCACCAAATCGAATTGCTTATGTTAATTTCGTAAGAAGGCGTTCTGGAAATAATAATATGTTTCAGCAACATCTTAATTATTGTATCTTTATTTTTAATTTTGTGTATATGACTTGGTTACTGATTCTGTGTTGGTTACAATAAAAATTTATACAGATATATTTGAAAGTACCCACCAAACCATTCAACTGCATTGTCTATTTACCTTTTATACTAAAACCCGCTAAAGCCTGAATAGAAAAAAGATTGGTTCAGTTTAGATTAAATTTCCATCTATAAATTTAAAAATATGTTTTTATAAACATGAAATTAACGAAAAGTTTTGAAATTTTTAAAATAATCCAAATTTGTCATGTCTGTAATTCATTTATTTATTTTTTTCGATCAAGCCAAAGTATAAATTTTCAGGCACATTTTACCACCTGATCTAGCATTCAAATTATTAATAACTGAACGCAACAGTTTCTTTCATAATATATTAATTTTAAGTTGAAATGTTTTAAAATTACAATTTTTTAATGTACAAGAAAATTGACAGATATAATACTTCTTTTGCAAGGAATATTAGCAGGGATCATAAGAAATTTGAAATTTTTTTACAAGTACCATCAAAATAACTTATTCGATGTAAGATGATGAAATTTTTATTTAAATCTAATTAATTAATCTTACTTTTATTAAATTATAGATAATATATTACGATATATTATATTCAGATCTTGAAGTTATAGATAAAGCGTGGGATATAACTCATCAGAGTACAATTGTTCAATATTTAAAATAAATACAAATTAAAATTTAAATTATTTAAAAATTTAAAACTGAATTAATATTTTTTTAAATTCATTAATTTTAAAGACGTATTATAAAGTCACGTTTTGTCTTTTCCCATACGGGCGTAGTCGTTGATGGATAATACAAATACAAAATAATGAATTGGTTATGAAATTGCGAAAATTTATTTTAAAAAGTATGCATCGGTATAAAATTTACGGAAAAAAAATATTAACGATGACAAGTTTAGTTGGATGAATTCCTGAATTAATTAAAAGCATCTGAATTTATAAAAAAAAAAATAGAATCAATTTGTATGCTGTACAATTATTCTCTGTCTGCAAATCTTCGCGCGGAAAGACTCCAAAAATACTGCCTGGTCGTCATGATCCAATGAAAACGGCGCATTCCACCCCACCTGGCCTTACAACACGCGGCTCGGGCTCGGAGCGGGGAGACAACACGGACGAGTTTTTATTTTCAGTCAAGTTCTTGCTGCTGCACCGCCGACAGGACCCTGTGTGCATTGCAACGTGCTCTCCGCATAGACAGCAAAACAAAAAACTCCGTAATTATTCTGCGTGAGAAATTGAACAACATTCAGTGTCAGTTTGTTTGTGTGCGCGATTCGTGACTTGAGAGCACCATGCGACCTGCGAACCGTGTGTGTGGCTAATTCAGGAAAAAAACTGCAATTTCGAAAAGTCAAGAACCACCAGCAAGAGAGATGCATTCGGCGCCGCTCGTCGTCGCCCTGCTGGCGGCCGTCGTCGCCGTCGGCCACGCCGTCATCGTCGAAAGAGGTGAGAAAGATTTTCAATATTTCTTTTATCAAAAAGGGAAAAAATTAGTGAGAGAGACGCTTGTGTCCTGCGAGAGCTTCTTGGTTCACGCTCCGGTGGGCACAGCACAACTCTTGTAAGGTCTCCCTACCCTCGCCTCAGGTTCTCTATTCATTCTGTGCAAGAACCTTCCTCCTCGCAGGCTTTTTATATTTAATGCGCTTCTCTTTCTTTCGTGCCAGTATTTCACGCTTCTCAGCTTCTCATCAACAGTCGAGCCACTCGTTTTAATTATTTCTCATTATTTTTCCGCAGCCGTCCAAGGACCCGCGCGATTCCTTGACATCTTCATTTCCCGCGAAATGAGTGTTTTTCGTGTGAGAAACACTCCGTTTTCCTAAATTTCAAAATCCATCCGGTTTCTCAAAGAGTTTTGAAAATGTCCATCGCATGCTCAGAAAATGCCATATTAAATTTACAAACTGGAAATATTATTATTGTGCAATATTGTTGGCTACGTAAGTAAAAAAAATGAAACAAAACTAATAAAAATCAGTTTAATAATAATTTAATCTTATTTTTAAAACACAATTATTGAGCATTTATTTCTTATTCATAAGACATATTTTTATAAAATTAAAAGTGATTTACTTCTTATTTAACATTTAATTTTCACATATTTTGGTTTTTAAATAAAAATATATCTGAAAAATATTGTTATTATGTATTAAATGAAATTATAAGCAGTGCTTTTTAAATGCTTTTTTCTATTATAAATTTAAACACAGAAGCACAGTCCTTTTTTAAAGTGATAGGTAAAAATATTGTTGGGATCAGCCAGTGGGATCATGAGCAGATATTTTTTTTTTTGTATTCATTATAGATTCTTTCGTCATTTTCAAACGCGCTTTAAAAGTATGTAATTGTAAAAATCAAAGCGTTGGAATTGGCTTTCTGAAAAATAAAAAATATTAATATAAATTGAATAGTAATCCAATTTTGCGACACAGTCTCTTCCTCACACACCCCAAGCACTACAAGGCTGCTCTTAAATGCTATTTTTGAGGTTATCTTTACAACCAGCATACTGATAAAAGCAAATAGCTCGTCTTATCTGTCAACAAAAAAGTGCAAGGTGCCTCACAAAACGTTTAAAAGTTTCAATCCGAAGCAGCGATTTTATTTTTAAATTTGAGTTGTGTCAAAAGAATTGAGAAAAAACTTGAATGTTTTTCCTTTCTGTTTATTTTTATTTTATCATATTATCGTGTTTCTCTCTAATTTTTAAGAATATTCGTCAGTTAATGTGGGTTTTGAAAAAAAATATTGTTGCACGGCCAATCTAGCAAAAGCATCAACAAGTATAAAAAATTTGAAGAAAAGATTTGTTTCTTTAAATTATCAAAAATTAAAAAAAATCTACTGAAAAATAAAATAAAAATATATTTTAGAAAGTTCTATATTTCATATTTTCTTCTCTGAAAAGAATTCTACGCAAAACATATAATCATCGCAGGCTTTTTTGTTGACTTTTCCCATCGCTTTTCGGCGGTATTGCTTCATTAAGGGTCGCTTTATGTTGTTAATGGAGTGCACTCGACGAGAGATCATAAACCTGAGATCGCCGAGCGAGGGTTGTTTTCCAGCATCCCCCGGTTCCTTCTCTTCTCCACTTCCCCCGTCGTTCATTCGGTCGGCGTTTTGTGCGCGGAGTAAAAAATAAAATCCACCCGCACACACAATCGGTAGCAACGAATGCACTTTTTTCCATTGTGAGTGCGCGCCTTTGTGCAGTACCTGTTGAATGCGATAAGGTACAGCCGCTGCTAAAATGAATTTCCACTTCTTATGTGCAGCGATTTTTCCTCAACGTTTTTAGTTGGAAGGGAATGAAATAAATTCCTGCAGGCGGATTGGATTTTAATTGCGCATCGGGTGGGAAATTTTCGTTTGCTTACTCAGTCAGTCAAAAAGCAGGAGTGCTAATGGAGGAAGTGAGGACCGCGGGCAATGTGAAAATGGGCTTCACCTCACCCACTTTTAAGAGTGTGAATTTCTAGAAAAGCTTCATGCAGTTCTTTATGGTTATCAAATTATTTTTATTATCACATTCAGGGGTTTCATATGGATTGAAATTTAATTTGGGTGATTTCAATGCATGGATGTGGAAATGTTTGAGCAGAGAAAATTTAACATCAAAACTTCCAATAGTTTAAAAATTGACGCAAATTATATTCTATTTCAATACATTTTTGGATTGTTGACAGATGACAAATAATGTAAATTTAACGGATTCATTTAAGTTTTTTTATTCATTACAATTTTGTTCCAAATTAAAATTTATTGCTCAAACTCCTCATGATGTGCGTGGCATTTTTTTTTTATTATTTCTACTGGAACACAATTTTTTTTTGTATCTGAAAATAAAATGAGTGCTTTTATAAAAATTTTCCTTCATTTTTTGTTAATTTTTTTTTTGCAATTTGAGTCAATTAATGTCAAACAAATTATAATGTTTAAAAAATTATGGATCTAAATTTTACTGATTATAATCTTTTCATGAAATATTTTTTATGCATCACGTTTGAATAATTCAATGGACTCTGCATTGAATTTTAAAAATTGTTATAAATATCAAATTTTGCAACTCACATTTGTGATTTCTTTGGAGGAAAACTGGCCACAATATGGCCCGTAATCTCCATACTCTTATTGCTGCTCATATAATTTCTGAACTTTATATTGGATGAATCATCCCATCTGGAGACAGATCACATTTATAAAGTCACGCGGGGACCACTTGTTCTTCTTCTTCTTGTTCGGTTGATGGAAGAAGTCGCGCGCTGCACCAGATCGTTGACCTGATGTGATCAATTAATTTCAGAGGCCGCGCGTCTTTCTTTCTTTCTTCGCTCGTTTCGAAGATACTTGACCAGCCACACTACTTTCAGCGACTCGTGTTCTTCTTCTTCTGTATTTATTTATTTATTTGTCTGGTTCCTTTGTTCTTGTCTCGAGAACGTCGCGACGCGCGCTGCTTTTCTTTTCCTGGCTGCGAACTCGTCTTTCGCTCTTTCGTGAACCACGACTTTTTGCACGGCCCCGTATATGGATCAGCAGCTCTCAAATCTTGATGTGCTCACCTCGGCAGGCTGCATGATATCGTGGCCATTAAATCTGCTGAAAAAGCAACGGCGACTCGAATTTATGCAGCAGACAGACGCACGAGAGCCTTTTTGTTATGTGTACGCCTGATTAAAATGCAGACACTTGGCTATTGTTGCTGAGAGCTTCTTGTTTCTGGAATTCTCTGGCAAAAATTGAAATAATATGCAATTCAAAATATTTAAAAATTTATATAATATAAAAATTTATATTTTTTGTAATTATTATTAAATCATTATTTATTTATTAATTTTTTTATTGTAAAAAAGAATTCTTTCCTTTTAAATTTTTATAGTTTTGGCTTCTTCAGAGTAAATCAATTTTGAGCAACAAGAATAAACTAGTTTAATTAATAAAGTTCTTCAAAAAAAAATTTTATTACAAACGTTTGAGGATGAGACTGAAAAATTAATTTTTCTCATCTGAAGACATTCTCTGAAGAATCATTTGTTGAATATTTAT